AGTGCTTTTGTGTGTGACTTTTGATTCACTAACCAAGTTGCTGTGCATGTCAATTTCTTCTTTGTTATAAAGATAATCTCTTGCTTTTGGGCATGTGAAAGGGGTATTGCAGCATATCTGTGTACAAAAATTGTTTATTTCTATGGGGTGAATTTTTATGTTTGACCTTTGACAGAAGTGGCAAGTTTCTTTTGCTGTCCGGTGTATTTGAAAAGGTTTGAATAAACTCTGTCAAATGGAACCTTGATATAAAAAAGGCAAAAACACCATTGTAACCTTTGAAGTTGCTTATAATCACAACTGAAGTGAGCCAAATTTTTTGGCTTTCGCAAACAAACGAATATCGGTTAACCGAACTTTCGCAGTAAAGTTTGCAAGTCTATAAGCGTGAATGAAACACGACTGTGATGGATTGAAGACTGCTACTTGAAGGAATCTGTTAGACCTCTCAGATACTGCTGGTGATTGGTCTTTATTATGCCAACTTACCACACCCAGCAACCAATTGCCTTGTGAGGAGACAGACTGGACCTCATCCCTTTGAACCTTTGGAATTCTAAATGGTCCGGAATCGAGGCCAACAGAGAGCACATTAATCTTTGGGAGATTGATACCCGTGACAAGTTTAAAACCCCGACTGCGCCATCTGTGGCTACCGTGTCAAGCCCCTATTCTGCCGCATGGACCGGACGACATTCGTGGCATAGTGATCGTTCCGCGATGTTGACCAATTGGGTTAAGCGAAGCCATGATCACTCCTACATCTGTGTCTGTATCTGAAGTCCTGGACCGTTTAGTTTTGAAGAGATCTGATGTTTCAATAGATGACAGTTTCAGCTAAGTGTATTTTTCAAACACAGTAACTGTCCGTTTTCTGTTTCCGCTGGGCGCCGCTCCTGCGATAGGTTTCCAAATAATTTTGAGTTTCAAAGTAAACGGAGTTATGTTGGATTCCTCAGTGGGTACCAGTACGGTCTGCGAGACTAACGTGTGAATTCAAGGGCCATGGAGTGCCTTAATTATAGTAGGCTCAGGAGTCTGAATGGCATTTTGTCTTTTGCCGAATGGAGAACTCACGCTGAACTCCCGCACACATTGCCCCCTTATGTTACAGCTCTGCGCAACGGGCCACGGACTTCATCACTTAGTAAAAGGACGACTCGATGGTCCCGATAATTTTTGTCTAGACGGAATTCTCAAAAATGATTTCATGCAAAGTGATTGAAAGAATGCCTTGATGCAGACCAGATAGAATGGCTTTACCTCAAAGAGTACAGCCAAATCCCAAAATGGCGGTCTGCATAACATTTGCGGTAACATTTGCCACCAGCTTTTCATTAAGATACTGGGAAGTTTGGGAAATCAAATCATTCGCAGACCGCATATGCCCCCCCCCCCCAGCTGGTTAGGGACTGTCCGTTATAGGGGGCTGTTAGATTGTATTCCCACTATTTAGTCACAGGATACCTAAGTGTTTCTTTCTGTGGATAGAATCCTGAAGATTGATAGTTCTTTCTTGGTTAGTGAACCTCGATGGACTTTCGGTGGCATAGGGACGTGCTTTTAAAAGTTTGTTTCAAATAAAAAGACATACGCCTTTTGGCGACAGTTCATTTTTAAAGTTTTATACTCTCCTGGGCAGCCCGCTGTGTCTTGTGATTGTCTTGTAAATATTATTATTATTATTGTTATTAAAAAGTCACTCAAGATTACAGAAGGGCCTGTAAATTCTTTTTAAGATTTGGACAAAAAAATGGCTTCAGCAGGCACCAATTCGTGCAATAAGAACACCAGGGATCAGTAAAAAAAATCCAAATTGCAAGGTTGCCGTCAATAGCTCTGCTTCTTATAAAAAAATGATTGCGACCGTTTACCTCAGAAAGAAGTCCCCTCCTTTTTATTTTGCAAACTTTTGACCTACAAACCGGTAATTCTGGTACATTCGTTTCTGTGATCCCAGTGTAATCTATACGCAATGGTAAGTCCTTTGTACGGAACAAAATACATGTATGTAACCAAACTGTTGTCCTCAGTCGAAAAGATTGCTTAAAAGTTAAAACTCGATTATTTAATATTTACACGTACCGCACTCTTTTTCATTGACAGAGGGAAGAGAGAAATGTGTGCCAGGGCAGATTTCCCCTGACGGGTTCGCCCCGTGTAGAGGTAAGAAAGCGGTCCGCAGTGGTTTAGCAAAGTTTTTTATTTCTGTCAGGTCATGTGGAAGTAGACTGGCTGTCATAATTGCTTCGCGCTTCTATGATGTTTAAATTTTCTACCTTTCCCGAGGTTCACCTTTCTGATACAAGCAAATCCAACATGGCCTCTTAGGGAAACAAGAGACTGACTTTTTAAACATAATGTTGATAGCGAAAGTGATCCAAAAGAGGTAACAGATCACATAACCTCCCATTAATTTTTTTTGGCGTCTAGAGATCTTAAACTATACTCAAGTGTTAAAGATTTCAGAATTTTTAATGTCACATATGATTGTCACCTCTAAAGGACAAACCGCAAAACCCCTTAAATGCAATTTTCTGTTCAAATTACCTGATTACGGATAAACAACTCCCAACGAGACGTCAAGTCGTTCAAGGTTTTCGCCTAGTTGGCGTTTTCGTCAAGTAGAGGGTTTACGTTTAACTTACGTTTAACTCCCTGTTATTCATCATCACTATGGCAAGGCTATTGGGTGTTGAGCGCGTTTAATATCACTTAGGCCTATATCCGCGAATTGGCTGCTGGCTTTGGTAATTGTGTCAACATTAACCTAGCACCATTTTCAGTGTGCTGTTTTAATGCACATAATAGTGCTAAGATCACCATTATGCCAAACTCAGGATTTTACCACACCATTTTGACTGGAGAGTTTTTTGACCTTGAAGGAGAGGCCCGTTTGTAAGAAAGCCTGTAGTTTTGTAAGATGAGAACCCAAAGAAGACAACTTCAAGAAGATAGCTTGACAAGTGACACTTACGCAGTGACAGGTATCTGAAGATAGTGAAATAATCCTAACGACACGGGATTAAACCGATAAGATGGCTTGATGTCCAAAAGGACACTGATATCACGAACCCACGTGCCCAAAGGATTCTTATCTCCCTTGGAATTCGATGGTATTTCATAAACGATTAATCTCTTTGCCGGCGATGCAAGGGTGTCATATCCTGCCGTGCCAAGCAAAAAGCCCAACAATTTTCACTTGCGGACCTAGTTAAGCGTGCCAGGGAACCGTAATTGGTTATTAAAGGGGATCAATCGACGTCATCTGTCCCACGGGACCCCCCCCCCCGAAATCTGGATCACATTTGGAACTGCTGTCATGGAATAAAAGCTTACGCTCAGTGTAGTTTTGCAACATTTACTAATTCAAAATATTCTAAGGGCTGATGGCACGGCTACCAGTTTTAGAGGGGTGAGGCGTATACGGAATGACTAGATAACCGACATTGTTTATTTTACTGATCCTTTTCACTTTTGTACTTTCTGTATGCATTCTGATTTGTAATTAGTTTGATATTTTTAAATGGGATAAAGAATATTATTGTTCAAATTCCCACACACAAATAAATCAGATTTCCGAATGAGGTAGGCCTACCTATAGAAGCCACTTGACATAACCGTTTCACGTGGCTATGACGCTTATAATTTAGACCACACAAAGCAAATTCAAACTGTGTGGTTGTTGATATACGCGTGTGTAATATACGTTTACTGTGTGTAATTCGTACAAACGTACTGGAAATTTGTTAGAAAAACTATACCCTGCTGTACGCAGCGAAAAATTAAGTGTGCTAGGGGTGCGAGAGACAATAGATTTCTGCATTCCTTAGGTGCGATTTTTCATCAGGATTTTCATGATTTCATTTTTTTTTAAGCAATCTCTTCCAGAATATGGAATATCCTGATTTTATACCATTGTGGTATTTTGACATATAAAATTTGATGTAGACCACAAGGTGATAGGTATTTTAAGGAAAGCCTTCAGGCAAACACAACTGTGTGCCGTAGTCCTATGCTGCTGTGGGCTCTTCAAAACCTCTAGTGATTATTTCGAGGATTTTCCATATTCTTCCAATCTCACCCTTGGGTAATCAGAAAGGTTCCACTTATCCTGGCCGAGTACAGTGTCCATCGCGGGTCGCTCACGTCAACAAATGGCATGGTGCCGTCGTATGAAAGGGTGGAGTGTCGGGCGGAATCCAGTGGCTCCACGACTGGGATGACACTGACAGTGACCTTGAACTTACTGACGACTTTCGTGTTGGCCAGGCTTGTACGAAGTGTGAAAATGAAAATGTCACACAGCGGGTCTGGTCTGAGTCACGTCACGCCATGGACCCCACCGTGGCGCCTCACCCCTGTTTTAGTCATTTCCAACAACAGGAAAGAAATTTCAGTTATACACTACTTGGAAAAAACGGTGCATTTGTCTCGGCGCACTTTCGACATCGTACATCTTTTGAAAGCCACGGCCCTGTAGTAAACATTCCCTGTGCAGTACTGTTCCCCCTGTACCTTTGCCCCTACCCCAATTCTGGCTTTCGGCACTAGCTTTCTGATTTGGATCTTGCTAGCACGTTACGTCAACGGCAGTCATTAATACAAGTGGTGTGAAAATTCCTTTGCTCGTGTCGCGCTTGATTTACTTCATACTGACGAATCGTTATGAAGTAGCAGTAATTGAGCGGGTGTCAACGGGCACTTCCGGGCTGTTTCATCGCGTTTACCCATGGACTAGATGTAATCTCAAAAGTGACGGTAATCCGTAATGAAGTGTTTTCCCATACTTATACCTGTTGCACTTAATCACCCCACAATCTCTGGCTACCGGTAGCTTTTAAAGCAAGCAGACCCATGCGTACTTCAAACACAATTTAAGCAAAAATCTGGATAACTGAAAAACGCTGACCCTAATACCATAGTGTGTGGTGTTGATATCCAGGGAAAACTGCATAAGAAATCGTTTAATGTTGAAAATATCGTTTTCGTAAAGAAACACAACAAACATTTATGAAAATGCGCTCTAAAACTCAGTCCTAAAAAATACCGCGAATTTACGTCATTACTTAGTGCTGCAATGTCACTTTGATCTACAGTAGATTAATGCCGCGTCATTGGCAAGCTCCGTTTTATATGAAAAAAAAATTCCACGTGAATTTTTGGGCAGGGTGCAAGTTAATGACACCATCTGTCTCATTTTTATATTTTTTTTATTGGGTATCTACAGCGGTACAACTCTTCTGGGTTGACCGTATTCGAGACTACTGTGTCTTGTGCACGAGTCAGCTTGGTGTCGAACCTTCAAGCCATCAATTAAGTTTTATTTATTTATTTAAAAGTTTTTGCTCTTGTCGACCGTGTGATTTGGGTTAGTTGTGAGAATGAGTGGCCCACCCAAATAAAATGATTCCAAAGCCCCTTCTTAATGATGTTTTAGCTATTACACATATCCATAATTTATATCCAACATGTGTTAAAAAAGTTCAACACAAGTGCATGGTACGGGTGTGTGACGTACGCAGATCCGACATGCATTGTGGCATGCGGTTCATTATTGTGAGACGCGTAGTTGCAACTGAAGTCACGCCATTTACATTACATTACATTTATGCGGAAATGGAACGTTGAACCGGAAGTAGTGCGAAGTTGCTTATTCAATTATGTATGACGCTTTCACTTTTGACTCGGACGCGTTAAGTTTCCTTGTGTGTAGTAGGTGCGGTTTGATGAATCGGTTTATTACTAGTCCATCTTGGTTATTGAAAACTGTATCAGGATTTTTGTTTGTCCCTGTACTCTCACACTGCCCTTAAATTGTTACTCTGATATTAGAGAGTTTCCCGGCTATTTTGGGCCTACCGATCGTCACCCCGGTGCTCTTTGAGGACGTGCTGCTCAAGTGTACCTTTCAAGGCCTGGACTCGGGCCAGACCTCACTCAAGGGCTACACTGTGTCATGGTACAAGGTAAAATTGCCAAATTGATGTTACGTAATGACAGGTGTTGGGATTCAACAGAGGGCGCTCTCAGCCCCGTTGTGGATTTGTGTTCCTTCAATCCCGGCTCCATCGCTGTCGGTGGCTTCTTTTGATTATCATCCCTCTGACTCGGGTTTCGTCGCTCAACGACATAAAAACAAACATTGAACTTGAGTAGCATCGAACTGTTTGCTGTCATTTAGTCCAAGCACATACAAGCGGTGTCATGTCAGAGACTAAGCCTAAGACGAAACAAAACCGTGACGAAGAAGTTGAGATTTGGGGGAACCCACCGAAGCTAGCTGCTTCCACATTTTCATGTTTTGAGCTAGTTTTGGCCTGGACCAGTTGCAGCAAGTGGGCACACTCTTATCAGTCAGCGTAAGAAATGCTTCAGTTGTTCACCTTTCAAAATGTTCAGCCGAAGTTTGGCCCCCAAAATAAACTGTAAATCAGTTACGGTGTAACGCTAGCCCCACTAGTGTGGCACAGTAGCGAGAATCCGTGCCACACTATTTGGGCTAGGTGTACCGTTAGTCTTTCTACCATGGGATCATGGTAATTCCGGCTTATACTTATAGCCCCACGGCATCTGATGGAACCTCATCTTGTTCGTCTGCAGACATACACAGATACAGAAGAGATTTAGGCCAAGGGGGAAAAGCATGTTTAGCGACCCTTCCAGCTTCCTTGGGAATTTTGTTTATTTTAAATCTTTGAAAACGTTGGTTAACAACGGCCAAACTGTCAACTGATTGATCAGAAAAGGAAAAATTTGCGAGCCGGAACTTCTACTTTCTGGCGTTAGACACTGTTGGTGACTGCAATCTCCAGTTAAAACATGCCTCTTAATGTCCGCATATGACTATGGCTCCAAATTGCATATGCCCATGGAAGTGGGAGCCATCTTGAAAATAATAAATGAAAGGCGCACTTTTTTCCCCATTTTCTCAAACCTTGAATGCTGAACATGTTTTTTTCCTTTTCTTTGACCAACAGCAGACGCTTTAAACATGGTCAGGCTAATTGATTAATTCATACGTGTATGTATCTGTGATATGGCACACAGAAATTCCTGATATCCTGAAAATTGCATCTTAGCCCTTCATTATTTAGTAGACCTATCCACAAAAGTGTATTTCCCTTTCATTTTGAGCACTGGACTCTTGGTGTTCTTCCTCATATGAGGCCTACTGATAGTGATATTGACTTGGTTACCAAGACCACCAATGTAGTTCCTTATCTTTTATGACTTCTGAAATAGTCATTCTTGTAATCAGTTTGAAATTCAATAAACCACTATCTGTCTCAGAGTTTTTTTTATTTAAGTCATCTTGTGTGGTCTGTTCACAGTATTGATGGCCAGATGCCCTTAATAGGAAAAAAATCTGCTTTGCTTGTTAAAATTGGTTGAGGCTGTCTCGTGGCAGGTGCGATGATGTGTTTTCCCCTTTTTCCCCCTGTAATTTTTCAGGCAGATAGCATCAATTCTTTTCAGAAAGTCTGGTCAGAAGATACCTTTGACAACTTTGTGTTCATCAACCCAAGGGATCATTTCCATATGGGAGACAAGGTATGCAGTAGATCTTCTCAATGGGCATTTCCAAGGCACTGAAATTCAGTTTGTTGCAGAGCGCTGTTCACAAACTGATTTTTGGTTTTTTTTTTAAGTCATACAGTCTGTCTGAAGTGCTTGGAAGAACATTTCTTCAATGTTATCCAAGAAGCATAGCAAAGAGTACTTTAGATGTGGGAAATTAAGGAAGTTGTTTTTTTTAGTTGGAGGAAAACATAGCTCTGATAATGACAGGTGTTACGGTAATTAACAGAGGGAAATATCGTAATATTTAAGTCACGTTTGACATCAGGGCATACAGCTGTACAAGTCTGATCAGTTTTCTCAGCCATATATCCGTCAACCTCTCCTTTCAAAGAGTTTTCATCCCCCTTCCTGCTCTGCTTTGCAGAGCCTCATGGCCATGAATCACTGCAAGATGTCAAGTCACAGTTAACTCTTGGATTGAAAGGAAGGGGATATTGTGTGTGTTTGAACTTGGGAAGTGCCGGGAGCACCTTTGCAATTTCTGGAAAGTAAGAAATGAAATAGTTGAGTACTACTCCTGGGCTCAGCCTTTATTAGTCTTTCAAATCTTCCATAGTGTTTATTTCCATCTGAAGAGCTTTATTTTTTTTACAACCTGGGAGGTGATTACTTTATTCATTATGGCTACCTCCCTCAAACTTGTGACAGGTATCAGGCACCTGCCAGGGATCCACTTTGAAAATGGAGACGAATTCTGACCGTTCCTTATTGTTGTTAAAGGATTAAAATTCATAAAAATAATTCTACCAAACTCGATTCCTGAACCATTTTCAGTGAATGGAGACAGTGCTGTTATTATTTGAATTGTGTCCACTGGCAAAACTATAGGGATTTCTCCAAAATGCACTGTACATGTAGCTTATTCAATGCAAGCTTGCCTGATTGATGAGCGTGTACATGGAAGTAGACAACGACAAGTTACTCACTGGTTCTGGCGGAAGGAAATTTTAATGCTGCGAATGTAAGCATTTTGGGAAAAATCGTATCGGCATATTTTGCCTTGGGTGGGAAATGAAACCCGGGGCATAAAATTTGAATGGCCGAGAAATTACCGAAATGTCAACCTTGCAACCGTAAACCACAAAAGGTTTGCAATAGCACAGTGAAATGATACATGCTTCAAACGGAGAGACATCTTTGCATGGTTTCACCATCACAAACGGTGAACATTTCAACCCCTGCAACACACCAAGCTTTAAATCATTCAACATTCCATCTTGCCTGGTAACATTCTGTGAAGATTGGCATTTAATCTCCCAAACTTTCTGAAGGGATGGTGACGTGTATGGCTCTTCCTTCTTGGTCTGCCGGTGGTGTCAATGACTACCAGAAAAAACTGGCCCTTGCGACTCAGTACCACATGTTTTTATTCCTCTGTGGTATCTGGCTGATGAAAACAGTCAGTCCAGATATGGTTGGTCACCAATACCCTTTCAGGTCATTGGAGGGTCGTTCCGTTGCTGGAGCCAAAATACAACTCACAGTTTACTCGAAGTCATTCACAGGGATGTGTGTAGCAGTGTGTCACACTGTCTGTCTGCCCCTTTGTCTGCACTCCCCTCTCCCATTTCATGTTGACAGCACATGATCTACATTATATCAGAAACCTGAGTCCACTGCTCTGTAAACAACCATGTGCATCCCATTATCCCCAAGACCAGTTCGGGGCCTTTCAGTGAAGCTTGGTTGCACCCACTGATCATGATTTCTTCCTTGCTGAAGTTTCAACAAGGTCCAGACATTGACTTGACATCCTTTCGGCCAAGTTTAGTGGAGATTGAGTGAAGCAATTAGTTAGACAATCAGTCAATGAAAGTTCCGTGCAGCTGCCTTCCCGAGTGAGGAAATCCCTACTTCTTGGAAACACGCAAATTTGTAGTCCGCTGCTCAGTGTAACAGCTGCCCTCTAGAAATAAGTTAAACTTTGTATCAGAAGGAATCATTGGGGTCTGTAGTGAAATCCCTCAGAGGTCTGAAGTATTTGTTTCCTTTTCAACAGATATTTTGTTCTGTTCAAGCTTTCTTTAATGAGACAAGAGAACTCAAAAGCCCAGCAGTAGACAGTGATCCATTTGAAGCTACAATTAAGGTGAGCGAGGGGATATGTTTAATACCGTTTCATTCAAGTGATAGAAAAGAGTTGTTGATAGTGTGGACATCTCATATATAAGTTCCGTACTATTCCCTCTGGCCCTAGGATTCTCAGTGAAGCCTGACAAATGCAACAGACGTGTGCTAGACGATGGGGCTTTAAAAGATCTTATTTCCTTCTACTCACTGACAATTAGTCAACCTTGGTAGCAAGTGTCAAGGCGATGTACTTGTGCATCTGGGGAACCAGTTTTCGCATGGGAATAGAGGTCAACTCTAAATAAGACATTAAGGTCTCTTTATAATTTGGCCAGTTGTTCCTCCGATCCACACTTCCTGTCGTGCCAACTTTGTTGCTTATTTTTCAGCTTGTTGACACCAGTTTTTTTTTTCCCCCGTGGCTCTCTGCCACGAAGGTTTCCCCAATGAGCATGGAGATCATGGAGAATGGCCAACCACACTTCTTGATGTTTGAGAGCACCATGCCCATAATGTGTGCAGACAAGGTTGCACCCTGCTCCATCAGGGTAGCACTAACCACCATCAACAATGGTACGTAGCTTTCCTTGCTGACACTGATTAGCGGGCTCATCACGGCTGCAGGAACACATTTTGCAATCAAATTGATTATCTAAAATTTCATTTCAACATTATTTTTACTTCTTATTCTGAGCTTTTTTTAAGTGGAATAAACACAACATAAATGAATCCATTCTGGCATTCCAAAATATCAATTAAAATTGGACATTTATCGACCCTCACACCCCACCAGCCTATTTAGAGACCAAAGCATCTTTAGATATGGCTTGTAATGTTATGTCTCAATTAGAGACCTGTGCTTCCCCATAGGAAAATTATAAACTTAGTAAAACATAAAAAACTATTTTTTACATTTCAGAATTTCCAAAGGAAAATGTTTCTCACTTAGCAACCCCCGATATTGTATACTGAGATTGTGTTTTGAAACTGTTTAAGACTGATTTAAAAATCATTCTTTTCCAGATTGAAATGACATACATTAGTGCCCTTGTGCCCCTCTCCTATCCCTCCTCAGAATTTCACCTTGGACCTGATGTTGTCCTGTCAGAATGTTTCATTGACTTTCGGTCGCGGGTCTGCCTGGAACCGCGATGCCGACGGGCTTCTGTGCTCGTCACTGCAGTAACAGACTTCACACGCGACGGGAGGCGGACCAGCACCATCGTGACTGGAGCAATCACCAGCACTGACCCTTTCTGGGATGGATTTGACCCAGCAGATGTAGAGGTTGGCTGTGCCCGTTTTTGATTAGAATCAAAAGCTGTTGCCTAGGAACAAAATTTTCCAATTCATTGGAATGATTTTACTGGAAAAAACATAGTCCAACTCACCTTTCATAATAATTTTAAATATTGCTCAAACAGTGAGTGAAAACTTTTCCTTGAGAAACTGAAAGTTAAATTACTTAAATATTTTCCCAATCATAGGTTACAGTGCAGGACGTCCAAACTGCACAGTGCTATGCCTTCACCGAACCACATTTCATCACGTTTGACAGAAAGTAAGTTGGAGTTCAGTTTACTTCATCTTAAAGTGTGGCACTTGATTATCACAGAGTGACTGATAGTAAGGAAGCAAGTTTAGTGTGATGTAGGTCACAGATATTTCATGTTTTGCTCCCTACATGAGTGGATGTTTATTATGACCGTTCTGTGTCCATGCGACAAGCTGTCTCTTCAACAGATTTATTTGATAACATAATGAGAATAACCTCTTCGACCAAGACCGAGAAAACCCCAAAGCAATTCCTGTGTTTGTTTGAAGTCTGTGATGTGTCTATTTCAAAAGAGGTTTGAATAGGTTATCCTGTGTCAACTTTGTTGATTTTCTCACAGGAAATATGACTTCTACAAGACTGGGACGTATGTTCTGGTCAAGAGTCGGGTCAGAGAATTTGAGGTATGTACCCACTTTTGGAAATTCTGGCATTTTAGAGATAGTTTTTGTTGAGTAATTATTACTTTCTTACAATTCAAAAGGTCAGGAAACAAAATATAAAATTTGCCATGGAATTTACTTTCACATAGCCTACTTTAATGCCAAATCGATTGTTGAATTTTAGACTGGGAATTTCAAAAGTTATGTATTGTATGGTGGTGATGGAATGAACAGGTTCATAACAGAATCTGGAACTGCGGAGGCTCATCAGACCAGGTGTCTTGTAACTGCGGCTTTGTCGCCAGGGAAGACAACGACGTCATCTCTGTCGACATGTGTGATGGCAGCGTCTTTGAGACGATAGCAGAGGTCAAGATCAGGAGTCCCTTACCCTTGTCGGACGGGGTCAAGGTGAAGGAGGCAAGGAATGGAAGCAAAATAACGGTAAGGCCAAGTGAAAACATCGACTATTTTCTACTCCCCTCTGGCTCCCTCTTCTTCACTTTATTATTATTTTTTTTAAAGTTTTTCTATTCCCAAGAAAAAAGTATTATTTTACTTCTTGTTTCTGACAATTTTCTAGCAGGTTTAAGACCTATCCTGCCCGTTAGTGCATTGGCGAGCTGCTTTAGATGCAAAAGTATCAGCAAAATGCAGTCTGCATTTTGGAAAAATTAGGCTTGGAAAAAAACACACAAAATCCCCCAGCTGGCTTCTCCATTAAAAATAACTGGATTAGAATCATTTTTTCATTTTATTTGATTAAGAGCAGAATATTTGGCTGCCGGTACAGATCTTCCATTTCTTGAAAACATCTATGAGAAAACACTTGACCACCTCACTTGCAGACCAGGATTGACGATTTTGGAACCACAGAGGAAAGACCAAAAATGTTGAGAAAAATTGTCCTGGGTGATATTTTGAAAAGTGGGGGAAAGATAGAGGACTAAACCACGAAGCACTTGACCTTGAAGCGGGGTTGCTCTCGAAACAAATTGATTTTTAAAAAATCTTGACAGTTCTGTGTAACAGTGCCACTTCTGTACATTTCCACATGCATGTATTTGGCATCTGGCAAAGGAAACAAATGGAACAGGTGGAGTTGAGCCAAGGGATAGCTTGATGTGTGTGGGAACGTTTGGGCAAGCTGAAAAGTTCTCTTCCAAAAATCAATGTCTAGAGGAACAGTTCTATAAGTGGTGTATTTCCCTCATTTGTACCCACCGTGTGCTGAAATCTGGACCCTGGTGAAATCATGTATGTCTATCATTCCTAGATTGAATTCCCGTCTGGTGGCTTTGTCCGTGCCGACATCGCTGACTGGGGGATGAGCATCACTGTGCAGGCGCCCTCTGTTGACTTCAACCAAACGCTTGGCTTGTGTGGAACGTTTGACGGCAATCCTGACAACGACTTCCACGACACCCTCGGAGAAACGATGAACATGGTCATGAAGCACAGGCAGGCTAATGAATTTGTGGAACAGTGGAGGTGAGTTTCTCAGGATGGTGGTGTATGTTTACTGAAAACAGTGGCATAACTGAGGTGAAACGTCTGTCTAGGGTGCACAGATATTTGTAAGGACGCACTGAAAGCTAATGCAGTAAACTCTTGATAGCTCAAAGTTGGTTAACTCAAAACTCCGCTTATCTTGAAGACATTTTTCATTCTCTCCAAACAAATAGGCATTTATGTACAAAAATACCCCTGTAACTTGAAATGTCAACACCACTTCATCCGCTTAACTCGTGCTGCTACCTTACTGATAATGAGTGGAAAAGAACATGGAGACATGAATTATGAGTCATTTCTGCAAACTGCACTTCATCTTTTTGTGTGAGGACACGAGCGTGCTTACTGCCAGTGCCATCGTAAGCGACTCATCAAGACCACCACCTCAACAAATCCCGGCTTTCAAACAAGCCTGATTGCCATCGTAGCCCAAATGTAGAGTCCGCATGCAGGCAAACCTCCTGAATGTAATAACTCTATCCAGTTGTGCTACATTATCCCACCTGACCCCACCTTGGTGTCTGGCCAAACCCTGCCTGTGTTAAGTGCACAAAAAGAGACCCACTTGAGAATTTATAAACAGAAACTAATTTCCATAGTATGCAGGTGGCCTACAAAAAAGTCAACTTTCACTAGGTAAGCTAAACTGGCAGCGTAGCTTATATGCTGGAAGTGGCAAGAAAAAAAAGAGAGCAAGTATGAATTATTATTTGGTTGTAATTTCCTTTTTTTCAAGACTACCTTTGCTTTCTTTGGCCAGGTTACGTGATGGAGGGATGTTCAATTCGGTTCCTACCACCGTTCCATTCCCTCTCCAGCTTCCGTCTTGTTCCTGCTCCCTGTCGATGCTCGCTGGCGCCAACAGCCTCTTTCCCTCAGAGGATCTGGAATGCATTGACAGCATCAACTGCGTGAGACTGTGCACGGGGAATGAGGGTGTGTCCAGGACAGACATTGTTCAGTCGCTGGACATGACCTCCATGTACAACAACGTTGTCACGTTTCCTTGGGAACCGCGAGTCAAGCGGGCAGACACTGAAATCGAAAGACTCCCCAAAACCGTTGCCACTGATGCTCATCAGGACTCTACTCAGGAGCACAAGATTACAAAACGGTTCACTGATTTCCTGGACCTTGGTGGTGATCCCAACTTTGGTGACTTCGGACCAGAATCCCCCCTCTTTATTCCTGACGATGGTAACTTCGGCTCACCCCTGATTGATACTTACTTCTTCTACCCAGACCACGTCCCCACTGACCTCGAAGCGGTCGTTACCAAGTGGCCCACTACCACTGGCATCACAGAACAACAAGCGCTTGAGATTTGCGAGAGAACTATACGCAACTCCTCACTAGGACTAGCTTGTGGCATGGACACGCTGAGGACCGACATGTTCATCCAAGATGCAATCGAAGTGTGCCTTGGTGACATACAAATGACGGACAATATATTCTGGAGCGACCATGCCATCCCGCTGCTGGAAAACCAGTGCGAGGCGGCCGTGGTCAGCGACAGGACGCTGTGGAAGTTGAATGTTCTAGAACTTCAAATGGATATGGTTCCACCAGAGAATATCGTCAGGGCCCTGAACTGCCCCAAGAATTGCAGCGGGAACGGAGTCTGCTCTAAGCTGGGCTGTGTGTGTGAAGCTGGGTACTCCTCCCATGACTGTAGCCAGTCTAATGGTGAGTGTAATTGCTGAAGTTATGTCCAAGCTGAAAACTTTCCCTTACTTCAAGTTATGTTTACAGAGAAAAAAATCAGAAAAATTTACCGAATCATATTACAAACCGAAAACCTGTAGATGTTTTCGAAGATGTTTATAGCATTCTCAACCAGTTAGTCAAACTTTAAGAGTAGACTGTTGTTAACTAAGTAAGTTAATATTCAGGGTTACCATTCACAGATTCAGAAAACCCAACATCCTGTCTTATAAATAAAAGAACTGAGATAAACCATAGACATTGAAAGGTTCATGCTTGATTGGCCAACGAGATATATTTCGTGGATTTGATGCTCTATGTTCCTCTCTTACAAAAGTTGATATTCCGGAGATACTCCGACTGGAGAACAATGGCCTGTGTGACTGGCGTTCACGGAGCTGTCGCCGTGTCAGGGTCACTGCCAGAGAGTTCCAGGAAGGACGAGCGATGGAATGCCACTTGACCAGACTAGAAGTGAGTATGACAACCATTTGATTGCAATGAACTCCGGTTGGGGACCATTGATAGTATTTCTCAAAAGAGCTTAATCTGAAGGACACATCAGTTTGTGAGGGTGTGACAAGTGCCAATTTTCAGCAGAATGTGCACATCTTTGTAGGATCTTTACATAACATGAGTGCACACCTGGGTATACATAATTTATCAAAGCGTCCAAGCACAGAAAATATCTGCTCAGCAGGAGGAGGTTATATACCAGGCAGAATCCTTGTGTTGCAGTTTGCTCTGTACTGGTTCCTTGCTGATGCTTGCTTAATGCATTATTTTGCTGAGCGAAAAATTAGGTAATGTCCAAAGTACTTAGCTGTTAATTTGAAATTACAAATGATTCCATGGACCGGGCCAAGCAAGTAATTCATAAATGGTCTCAGACCTTGACCATAAGTTCAAAATTTATGTTTCCTTTTAACCTATATTTTTTAATGCTTTACCAATGTTTAATTTCTGAAATATGAAATAGTGTTTGTACTATCCAATAATAATATAAAAATATTTCTGTGGATTCTTGCAGAATTCAACAAAGATTTTCTCATGTTTCTGGAAATCAGGTCCTGTGAAGAATGTTCTCCAAAATAGCTTCATGTTGACTCTCGAGCTGATTTCTTTTAGAACCGTGCGTTTTTCTGTTAGCAGAATTGTGCAAAATTGTATTAAAGGATTAACAGGATTTGAGCTTAACCAGTTGTTGTTTGTTCTTGGTTCAGAGGATGACCCTCCTAATTATGAAATATCCTGAAGTCCAAATATTGACTACATGTAGTTATTTTGGCTTAGAATTCTCAAAAAGCAAGCATGAGAAGACAAAACCCCAACACTTAAACGGAAACAAAGCCACGCATTTTAAGTAATAAACCCAACGACTGCTAAAAAGAAAACTGAAATTGATTCATTTTGATATTTAACGATACGTGTACTTGATGTAACAATCTTGAGTGATGCCTCCATTTTGTTTCAATCTGATACAGAGCTCTGGTGTTGAAAGGGCTGTCTTTCAGAGCTCAGCAACTTATATAAACAGGCGGTCTGCACTATGCCATCTGCCGTCAGTCTCAGGTGGTGGAACGGTGGATAAGTCCGTGACACGGTGGGAAATAAAGGTAAGTATACCTTAAGTACAATCAAGAAAGACTCTGTGAAAAAGACCAAGTTGTCAGATATTAAAATTAGTCAAATTGTGGCACTGGAGTAGTTTCAGACCTCAAAAATACCTTGTTTGTGAATGTATGGCGCAGAGTACTCACAAGAATCTTACAAATCTTTCTTTGACTGGTGTGTGGGCAACCCACATATCTTACAGTGTTAAATGTGACCCGCTCTGCGAAACGGATAGTAAGGGACACCGTGCTGTTTCCCACTGAGGGCTTTTGTATGTGGACAGGGTGATTTTTTACTTCTTGGTTTTTTGGCTTCTATTATATCAGTGCTTTCACAAATCATACAAGAAACCTTCTGTTGCTAAGGGTATCAAGAGACTTTCTTCTTGGCTGATTTCTTTTTCCTCTTCCTGTGTTTTAAGGGCTTTATCTCTGAAAGTAGTTCTGTTAATGTGTATATGATTATGCAAAAATCAATATATCTCCAGATTGCAAAATGCCACAGGGATCAAACCTACACCAGATTAAAGCTTATGATGTAACCAATTCAAATGTGTATGTAACTCATTTTGAAAATAAGTCCCATAATACCCATTTTTGTGGAGCTGGTCACAAATGGTAGAATCTTGCCCGCCTTGGCCTTATTTCTGTTTCAAGACATATTGTAATTTTCGGAATATAAGCCGCGGCTTATATGTTGATTCTCACACTGAAGAATGTCTCTGCGGCTTATACGGCAAACTTTGCAGGATAAAATTAGTCATAAAAGCCACACCCCGGCCACGCGTACCACATGCAGGTGGCACAGTCATGTTTTCATCGGTTGTTGTTTACATCTGAAAACTCAAACCTTGGAGAATAAATAAAAATTTGAGTTATTAATGGAGTTTTCCAAGTCATAGAGTCACGAAACACATACATGAAATCTAAAACTTTACTTGCTCTGCTGTGACAACATTTTTTAGTAATTATTTTCCCGCTTTTTATTCAATCTCATGCAGTATTTATTGCTGACAAATAATCATTTTACTAAGATTTTTTCTATTGTTGTAACCTAAAGATTTCTTTCTACTGTTAAATAAAAATCAACCGCTTCAGTGGTATACCTTCATGTGGCAGATCTTTTGTCTTTTCGCCGACCATGCTCAGCTTGACATGCCACAGAATTACTTAGGTTTTCTAATGACAACACTTTCTGTGGTCACATGGTTATTGGAAAGAGTCCATGAAACGATTTGTGGTAGCTGCCAGGCTGGCCTGAAAACTGGGTTTGTGTGATCGCGGTGGTGCGCGCAGTGTGTGTGTGCCATGCTGCATGCAGAATGCACGCTACACAAGCGGTTCTAGTGTGATGACTTGAACCAAGGTCTTGTGGCTGATTTTTCATTTTTGAAGCAGTTTGACGGTCTGTTTTGGTCGGTGTCACAAAAACCTTGAGATAACTGGATGTATTGTTGGGGACAGTTATATAGGTATTTTCTTTATTTAAAAGCTTTTTTTTTGGTAAAAAATTCAGTTGGCCTACGAGATAAAACAGTCTTTCAACTTAACTGACTTCCAGCTACCAAGATTTGTATGTCCCGGATCCAACCACGTAACTTTTGCTGGCCGCTGGAGAACAGGCAAAAGCTGATGCACGGCCCACATAGGGCCATCGACCACCATCGAGCCGGCAAAAAGTATTGAATTTGAGGATTCAAAATTCACTTTTACGGTGACTTTTGTTCACAGTTTGCTTACTTTTATTAGGATTGCACATGTAGTGGAACCATTGACGTACTGTACATGCTGTGTTGGCGCTTCAACATGACCTTCATGGTTGGATCGTCAGTGCTGCAGTGCGGCTTTTACACCAGTGCAGCTTATACACCGACTTTAAATCTTAATTTGCCGAGTTTTGCGTACTGCAGCTTATACACCGGGCAGCTTATATTCCGAAAATTATTGTGATCAGAATTTCATCATGTAGCATTTCTTTGCTATTCTCAAATCCCCATTGCTTTGAACCTTGTAGATCTAAAGTAGTTCCTCTTATGCTTATAGACCCAGGCTTTTTGTTTGCTTTCTAAATTTATATCTGGGCATTTTAGATGTCTTACAGAGACTCACAGATGAGCTCCGAGTTGCTGTTCACTGTCTACGATTCGCACTGCCAACAATGCGACTGGACAGGATCATGTGAATTGAAGGTAGAGATGAATTGTTTTCATTAATCTTAGTCCTTAAGAATCAGTCAGTTTCAGTAACGAGCCTACCATTCATCCCCGTGCTGTCTTTACAAAACCACACCTGCGTGTGGACGGCTATAAACTATACCTGATTGTCTGAACACTGTTTTAATTGCAATAAATGCTTAGAAATGAGAGTGTTATCTCTCCACTTTTGAATGAAAAGCTAGCAAATATGGTTTGAAAATTTGACGATGCCATGCGGTATTGCACACATCTGGTTCATTGCATGTCAAAGGGCATTGATTTCTGCATGTATCAACATCAACAACCATCTCCCCCTTTGAATTCTGGTTCCATCATGGGCATGTATTAATTGCATTTACTCGATGATCTTACTACTTTAACCTCTCTGTGGTATTGTGAATTCTAAATAGGCCAGTTGTGAGAAAGTTGATTTGACAATGTCACCAGTATAAAAGATTTAACTGATTAGGAGAGTCCTCAAAGATGCATCTAAAACTGAAAGTTACAATGATAGTGAAATTGGTAATGTCACAAGCCGATAATGGATATCTTGTTTAATTTAAAGTTTTACAATAAGTAGTCAGTATTAGGATTTGGTCTCAGGATAGAGAAATTGTTTACCCTGCCAACTCTCTTGCCGTAACAGGAAGGTGCATGCTTGATAGACTCCTTGTGCTACCAGCGAGGTCAAGTCAAGCCTGAGGATCAGTGTATGCAATGCATTCCGGATCAAAGCGTGGATGAGTGGTCTCCTAACACTGGTAACTGTTCCAAAGCTATGGTGCTTTTATTCATCAACCTGCCTTTCAGTTAAAAAACTATATCATTTACAGAATCACATCCTTTCAGTAACACAGCATTCTCACTAGATCCACAATGCTTCAAACAGTATTGTGCGGAACAAGTGATTTGCTTAACCTAGTGTTCAAATACTCCAATCAGAGTACTAACAAATTTGAATTAAAATTCCCGCTTCTTCCAAATGGGCCTCACAAAGGGGAAATGGGGGGTGGTTGCTGGCCCCTTCTCCCTTCAAAAATGGACTGAATTAGGGAGAAAGGGATGAAAGTCATGGAGTTACTAGGCGATCAAGCTGCCTGCAACATTGAACAGGTTATCCCAGCGACAGAACTGGACAGGTTTAATTTTTCTCTGCCTTTAGAAAACCAACCACCAGTTCCTGAAGACGCCCCTCCGTTGACGTTCTTTGTGGGCGACACCATCAAATACCAGATCTTGGCCACAGACCCTGAAGGAGGGGAAGTCTTGTATGCCGTGGAAGCCCAGGATAATACCAGCGATGCTGTTGTGTCACCCGATGGAACATTCACATGGCAAGCGACAAGTCAAGGGGATTATTCCTTTGCTGTCGTGATAACCGATGACTGTGGTGCTTCGGCATTGTCCATTTTACAGGTAGATTGACTTTTGGGTTCCGTATGTATAGGTAGTTTTTATTCGGTAATTTTGGTTAAACTCTTGGAATGGTGGATTAGTGCTGTAACTTCTGAGCATAAACTACAAGAAGACATATGCTTGTTAACTTTGGGCCAGAAATATAATTCACTGTTAAGAGGGGTTTTAAAAGAATAACTCAAACATTGAATGTGTTCCTTGAGAAGGATATGCTGTTTTGATTTGGTTTTCTCAATTACCTTGGTGTGTCAGATATTCACTAATTCTCAGATGAATGTAATAAATGTGTTGGATCAGTTTGGGGCAGTACCGGTTTGTTGTATTTTTTGGTTTCGTTTTATTTATGGATAAAGTATGGTACTGACTGATTAATATAGTGATTACACAAAAGACTTGACCATTTTGCCAGGTGCGAGTGGTGCTTTGCGGTTGTCTAAATGGCGGTCAGTGTGTGATACCGACATCCAGGGACTCGGACAGTGATACGACCAATGAGGCTGACCTGCCCCGTTATATCTGCGACTGCCCACCGCAGTACTCCGGCACTCTGTGCGAGGTTTCCACTGAGGGTTGTGTATCCAATCCATGTGTTCATGGTCGGTGTGTGGAGGAAAATGCCGTCTACTCCTGTCAGTGTGATGAGGGATATACTGGTGAGCAGAGCATTGTCTCAAAGACACTAGATAGATTGCTTTGTGTTCTAAAATTCATTCTTGAATTTCCAACTCGTTCCATTTTACAAGGTGATTTTGTTGCTCATAGTATACAGCTGAGCCGAGCCCCATGCATTTGCAGTAAACTTTGGCAAATGCAACAGTTCTAGAATTGATTTTTGATTCCATGAGGGAATCCCAGGAGCACAAAACTTCACAAGCTCTGTCAAGCCCTTTTGCAAGTCCAACCACAAGTTCTGTTATGATTCCTATCCCAAAGTCTGGCCTTAAGAGACAGGATGAATTGTGACAAGGGAATGATTTTATCTAGGGGCATTTGCATAGCGTAAGATTGATTTAATTGTAATGGAAGTAAATGTGATTGACTGAGTCAGAAAACTGCTATGATGTTGACATCGTTAGAAAGAGAGTATTTTTTAATAGTCTTCTTGTGTTCTCTTCTTGCCAATCTGAAGATTCAATATGCTCGACTCCTGCTGACCCCTGCGACTCCCAGCCTTGCTACCCAGGGGTAGCCTGTCTGACAGAAGACAGCCCCTCAGGCCCAGTCTTCACCTGTGGGGAGTGCCCCGGTGGATACACTGGCAATGGCATCCACTGTGAAGGTAACGATTACCATTTAATATCTGAGATGTTTTTATTTGAAATAATTTCAAATTTTAGTAGTTTTCCTCTGTAAATTAACTCATATTTTCCGATTCTGACATAAGGGTAGAGGAGGTAAGCATCATACACTAAAACAGCCTTTTTTAAAACTTTCTCACAGCGATGGGGAGGAATAACAGAGGATTTTCTTCTCGTTCCAGATTAAACCCCTTGCAATGACAGATTTTTCATGAAACAGAATTGCACACACTTTGATAAAGACATGTTTTCTGCATTCTCAGAGTTTTAGCTGCAATAAGTCCAATCCTTTTGCTGTCATGGTTTGATGGACATTTCGTGTTATTATCTGTGACTGAGCTCTGTTTTCCGATGCATATTTCACAATATCTTGTTGGGAATTGTATTACACCATTTACTAAAAATTTGGCATTGGCATAAGATTGCCAAAATTTGAGAAACTAATACCAAGATGTGAACTAGGTTTCGCTCTACATGGTCATAAAGACCGGGCATGGAAAAATACTTGCATGTATCGGATCACTGGAGCCAAACACTTTGTCACAGCCCTCTGGGATTGTTTACAAATGTTTAATAAAAGTGCCTGATTTTTTTTCCACTGATGATGGGGCTAGACAAATACCTATGCTGTAACCTATTTCCCCTCTTATTCTTCTGCAGAAATAGCTCCCTCTCGTTGTCGTTGGGGCTGCCCAAGGCGCATGACCTGTGACCCCTCCAGGGGTTGTGTCTGCCGAGAGGGCTATGCAGGATACCGCTGTCACCAGGGTGGGTACTTCTTATCTACAAATGGCCCCATAATACTTTCCCTAAAATGAGCCATTTTGGATGAAATTGATGTCATTGCTCATATATGCGTTACCTAAACTGTTAGCTAAAGACATTTTGGGGTTTATCTAGTTTACTTGAGCATTGTTTCCTTATGTGGTTAAAAATGAACATGATTGGAACTGAACAAAGTTTTTTAAAACTTTTAAACACTCTTCATGCTCAATACATTTGAAAGTTAAATAGAAGTCAAATATCATTTCTTTCATATTATCATTTTGTCGAAGTCTTGACTTTCCCCCTCTAAACTCCAATATAAATATGTCTTGGAATTTAACGAATCACTGACACACTTTCCTGATAGGGTATCAAAACAGGAAACAGCCATCAAAATTGAATGAGAAATCATCAATAAGGATTAACGTTGCATTCTAATAGCTCCTGAGCTACATCTTAAATCAAATCTAAGATGTCGTTGCTCAAATTAGTGGTTGAGAGCTCTGTTTCTCTGATTGTAAACAGGTGTAGGTTTTTTTGACATGATAGCAGTTAGAATACTTCATTTCTTGAAATGCTGTTTAATTTTCAAAAGGTCCTACAAAGTTCTTTAAGTATTGAACGACAGCCTATCACAATCTTTGCCCCTTGTTACCTCTATTAGAGCAACTTTCCTTCTCATTCAAGTACCGTAGATGTTGTAATTATGTAGATGGTTCAAAACACAGCAAATGGGGCAAGTAAGTTAAATCTAATCATGTAAGCAGTGTTTCCCTGATGTTTTTTACATTGTTGCCATACCTTGAGCCTTCACAACCTGTTCTTAGTTTGTATCGGTGTAGAGGCTATGACTCAATGGCAGTGGAACAATTTTCAATGAGGTGGGGGGAGGCATTTGTTAATAGACAGTCATGCAACAGCCATTAAAACCCTCCTATGGTTTTACA